CGTCAGACGGGGGCTGTCGGGCGGCATGCGGTGAGCGCGCCGAGATGCAAAACACAGACTTAAGGAACAGCTCTTGTTTCTTACCCATGTATGGCTTTGTTCCAGCTAATGCGGTTGCTCTTTCACCGTCCCTAATTATTGTTGCAATATTAAAATCTGTTAAATGTGCATGACCTTAAATAAAGACACATTTTGAGAGGGAATTAATCGCAGCGCAGAGCAGCGGCAGCGCAGAGCAGAACACATCTGTTTCACAGGCTCCTGCCCCCCGCCGGGTAGGGGCACGGCGCAACATGGCACTGCCCCAAGGTTTCCCGGGATCTCAGCCGGGCCAGGCGATTAAGGGCAGCCAGCTTTGGGTCTGGAGTCTGCATCGCGCTTGGAGCGAACTGGGAACCTAGAGCGGCTCCAGCACTTCCAGCCTACAGCCGGTGCAGACAACAGGGAGGCACTACAGCAAGCTAACGCCCTGGTCGCAGTGATTAAAGCCCCGGGCTGGTTTTGGTGAAGGCCACTGAACCACAGCTACCCAAAGTCCCAGCACTGCAGCCACGCGGCACCAGAGCCCGGCAGACCTGGACACGGCCGCCAAACGCAATCCCGGCAATCCTCCCCAACCCTAAGCCCGCAGGAAGAAACCGATAAGGTATCTCTCACAGTGCGGGAACACCTCCTCTCTCTTCCTACCTTCTCTGTCCTCGGGACTTAAAGTCAAAATTCAGAAAAGGTCGTTTTTTCCAAGGCAGCCTGGTATAGGGAAAACCCAGCCCCTTGCCCTTCGGGGGGCACTTTCTGCTCTCTGTGCCCAAGGCAGCTGTGAAAGTGGGGTGCACACCACACACCGCGTCGTCCTGGGACGTTTTCCCTCCCGTCTCCTCCTCCCGTCTGTGTTGGGGCTTTACGCTCTGTGCTATTTCCTAATGAACATCCATGCAAGTGCAACTTTGGTTTTGACACGACTTTACCATAAAACTCAGAGGATTTGGAGCCTGAGAGGTTGCATCTTCGTTTTATAAGACCTGCTCCTGGAACAGAGGCCATTAGAGGATCTCCTGGGGTACTTCTCCTATGCAGGCCACCGGGACAATATTACCGCTCTCAGGAAGACTCAGACTCACTCCACCTGGCTCAGCCCACATCCATGCCCACAGGAAGACATCAAAACTACCCTAAAGGTGTGTGTGCAGATCACTAAAACTCCCCAGAGCCAGTCCCTGTGCTCTGTGCCCTCCCCCAGTCCCAGGTAGCGCATCTCCGCACCGGCAGAGAGGAGGGAGAGGGGCTGCCCTGGGCGGGTGTCCCCGGCACTGCGACGCACAGGTCCGTTCCACCGAGGAGCTGCGCTGCCGTTCCCACCCTCGTTCCAGAGAAAAAGATGCCCAGTATTCAAGACTGTAGGAATCTGTCCCTGGAATGAAGGGGGCAGACAAAGCACGGCAGAGATCCTACCTTGCTCATCGAGGAGGATGTTGTCTGGCTTTACATCTCTGGGAAAAGAAGGAAGGGTACGGCAGGGTAAGATCTCAGCCAGATCGAGGGTGCAAATCAGCTACAGAAAACAGCCATTTCTTAATCTATCTAGGACAAGAGGTAACAGGTTTGAATGGAAAGAGGGAGATGGAGATGGGACATCAGGAAGGAATTCTTCCCGCAGAGGGTGGGAGCACTGGGACAGGTTCCCAGAGAAGCTGTGGATGCCCCATCCCTGGGAGTGTCCAAGGCCAGGCTGGATGAGGCTTGGAGCACCCTGGGCTATGGAAGGTGTCCCTGCCCATGGCAGGGGGTGGCACTGGGGGGGCTTTGAGGTCCCTTCCAACCCAAACCCATCTGTGATTCTATAAAAAATAATAACAAATAAAACAAAAGTACCCTAACAGGAGATCAGTCCCTTTAAGGTGGACTAGCAATATGCTTTTCTTCAGCAACTGGACAAAAAAGCGGGAGCACCTGACTTGTTCAGGCATCCTTTCTAAGGAAAATCCGTAACACAATACTGGGCCCATTTCTGTGAAGCCCCTGACCACTTTGAAACCCGCCCTGGAAGGTACCTGTGGCCCCCGCAGAGGCTCAGCTTCCTCCCGGTGATGGGGAGCGGGGCCAGCAGGCACAGGGTGCCCAGGCACCGCGGCGCGGTTCAGTGCCATCAGGGCACGGGTGGCGTGAAGCACGGCAGCATCACCCACCCCAACCCACAGGCAGAGGTGCACGCGGTTACCGGTGGATGATGTGCTGGCTCCGTAGGTAGTCGAGCGCCAGAGCCATCTCGCAGATGTAGAGTCTGACCGTCTCTTCCGTGAACTGAACGTTCTGCTGCAGGTGATAGCGCAGGTCGCCACCGAGAAGCAGGTCCACCACCATGAACATGTCCTCCTCGTCCTGGAAGGAGTACCTGCGGGGCCGGGCGTGCGTCACAAGCAGGCTGGGTGTCTAACAGTCCCCCTCCCACTGCAGCTCCAGGGAGAGCTGCCAACGTCCCCGTTCAGCATGGGCCGGCTCGATGCTTAACCTTTGGAATTAAGCAAGCGTCACTCAAGATGCTGCTGTGGTTTTTAGCCTATTGCTACCCTTGATTTTGATGAGAGAAGCTTCCTCACTAACCCCCGCTCTCGCCTCGTCACCGTCACCTCCCCAGCCCTGCCGCGGGACTCCCGCAGGCAGAGCTCAGGGTTTCGCTAGCCTGTCCCTAACGAGAAACTCCGCATTTCCAACGGCGAACGATCTGACAAACCTGTACTTAAAATACCCCTGCTGGTCCTGAAAAAGAATTGGAAAACACAAGTGCTAATTTAACCATAAAAAACCCCAGAAAAAGAGATTTCTATTTACTGGGGAATAAACCGCCTCTCTAAATCGGCAGTGGGTCCCGCGGGAGACTGACAGCAGCGAGGATACACTCCAAAACAACGTTCAATTGTTATATTTGGCGACAGGATTTCTAAGGAAGGAGCACGGGGGGTTGTATAATACTTATGAATCACACGCTCCTGCTCTCATCTTAAACGTAGGCTGATTCTGAAAGAATGGGCTGAAAGGGAAAAATCTGCTAAGGGAGCAAGTGTTCCTAAGAATTTGTTGGAATAAAATATTTGCGATTGCTAAAAGGCTGAAAAAATAAACATTAACTTATTTGGCCGCTCCAGAGCAACGGGTGAACAAAAGGCTGTAGAGTATTATCTACTTTCACCACTTTGGGTGTAAAACTCTGAGTTTTTGAAAACCTGCCCGCCCACCAATCTGCCACGCATCCGATGGGGCCGGGGAGGGCGGGGAGGCCCGCGACCAGCCGGCGAGCGACGGCTCAGCCCCACTGGTGTGCAGCTTCTCGGGGAAAAACGGCTGCTTCTGCCCCTGCTCCATCGCTATGAAGCCAGGGAGCTGCTCACGAGGCCCCGATCCCAGCCTTAAAACCACATTGCTGTGGCAATATAAGCCCTGTGGGCTCAGAAGGCGATTGCTGTGCCGTTCCTCGTGTTTCTTACATACTGTCGCGGTTTTGCTTACCCATTATTTTCCAAGCACGCATGGCCTTTTTCTTACATTTACCATTTTCTCCTGGTGGGTGGTGCTGCACAGATTTTCAGGCTCCGAGAGCGCGGGTAGGAAACACTGCCTACCTGCCTTGGCGACACTCTGAGCCACAGCTGCAGAAAAAGAGCCGTTTTCCACACACCATGACCCCGCTACCGCCCCAAGAACGCACACCGCACCGGGCCAAGGGTGGGCAGGGCACCTGGGGGACAATAAATCGCGCACAAAGCTCTGCGCAAGCCAGGTCCCATGTACAGTAAGAGAAGGGCCCACTCTTCCTTCCCCTTCTCTGCCATCCTGCACCCAATGGGACATGAAGGTTTTCCATCACCGCTCATAAATCTTCTTGCCGTCTGGGAATACAAGCCGTGACCACCTTATTTCTACCGCCCTGCCACGTGTCCCGTGTTTGCTCCTGCCCCAGCTCCCTCCGGCTGTGACCACACGTTTGCTGGAGGAGGATCAAGCTGTGGCACGCTGCTCGGCCCTAGGGAAAGGGGGTGGATTTTTTGATCCCTGACCCATGTCGGGCGCTCCTTCCCGGGACAGGGAAGGCAGAGAGCGGATGGACCACCCGGCAGCAGGATCTGGGAGAGAGTCAGGGCGCTGACTGCCAGGTATCAGCCCAAACTGACCAACGATCTTAGGATATAATGCACTGTTTTCTGAAACTTGTGAAGTACTATGTCGTGCATTGATAACGACACGTCTGAGCTCCAAAGGAATGTGTTTTACCTGGACCGTGAACCTGCTGCAGAGCACACGTTTGCCCTTACTCGTTCTTTCAGCACCCTGGGCTATGGAAGGTGTCCCTGCCCACGGCAGGGCGTGGGACTGGGTGAGCTTTACGGTCCCTTGCCACCCAAACCACTCTGTGGTTCAGCAAAAGGTGACACTCCTGACAATTTGAAGAGAACACGTCACTTTTTTTTCCAGCTAAAACCACTAAACCCAGTTACATTTCAAACTGCTCCATACCACCTGAGTGTGCACTGCCACAATCCATCCTCGTTGCTGCAGAACGCTTCAGGGTCCCATTTTAAAAACACCCCTCCAATAGGCTGAAACGTCACAAAGAGCTGTAGCTGGTAACGCTTTTGAAACGCATCCCACCAGGACAGCCACAGTAAAATCCGACATGCAGCGTACCTCCTTGGCTTCCCTGCCAGCATCCCCCGGGGTACGGCTGGGGAGGCGCCCCTGAAGCTGAGACGCAGGGACGGCCTGGGCGGCTTTAAACCCCTGCTGAAACCTCCTGGGTCAGGAGCCACCTCAGCACCGCTCCGCTGAACGTGCTGCTGCGGCCGAGAGCAGCCCTGGATGCTTCAGCTATTAACCAGCCTCTGCGCCATCGCGCCCTTTAGAGGCACCAAATCCTTAGTGTCTAAAACACTACGTATTTTGCATAATTCTTCTATTAATAGAAGTTACAGATCACCTCTAAAAAGGCTAGCTGCTTTAGAGCTTCGAGCTCTTACCTGCTACAGCAGGTGGCCCCACGCCGTGTCCCTTCACCGCAGATGGCCACAGCACCCCCTATCTCCGTGCGCATGGGATGGGCCGGAACGGCTGTCGCCGGGAGCACTGTACTGCCCCAAGACATCCTCATCCGACCGCCCACCAGCACCCCTTGGTACAACGGTTACGGTTAAATGGGCAGGGGGTCCCTGGGGAGGGACCAGATCGCGGTAACTGCAAGGCAGCCCCCCACGTACACAGCGAGGGTTGTGATGGAGAAGAGAAGCTGCGCCGTTAAAATGCCGGATGTTTGCCATTCCCTTTGGGTATCTCCCCTGCGCCACGTTTCCCAGATGGAGTTCAGCTTACCACGGGCCTCCACTGCCCGCTGGGCTTCTCCCCTGGTGCCCGTGACCCACCCAGAACGGGGAGAAGGGGCTGTGTCAGCGCCCGAGGGCGGGCGCCTCAGGCAGAGGGCCAGGGGCTGCTCACCAGAGATTCACCAGGAACACGTGCTCGATCTCCTGCAGGATTTCCAGCTCCCGGAACACATTGCGGACCTCATCCCGTTCGATGCACTGCTGTTTGTTCATGTACTTCATGGCATACATCTTCTCCGTGTCCCTCTTCTGCACGATGCACACCTGGAAAACGCACGAGGGACGGGGAAAGAAGGGATTCAGTTAAACGTTTCATATCCTCGTTTGCTGCTTCACCTGAGACCCACACGCGCAGCACATGACCCTGCTACTAAATCCTGATCCCCGGGCTGTGACTTGGGATCTAGGGATATGAGCATCCCTGCTCCAAGTGCAGTGGGCACACTGTGCCAAGTGCCTGGGCACTCCCGCTCCGGAGCTGCACCAGCCCGACCGGCCGCCCCTCACTGCGCAGCCACGCGAGAACTTCCAATGGACGTGAGGGCCGGCTCCCAGGACAGCTTTCCAGCAGGGAACGGTGTCTGGGAGCTGTGGGAGACAGCTTTCTGCTCGCTGCTTCCCAACGGGACCAGCTTCGGGCCACCGTGGGCTGCTCTCCCAGCTCCATTCTGCTCACATCCGCAGGCTCCCAACCTCCGGCAGATCGGTTTAATCTGCTGGGAACAGAGCTGTGCTCCCACAGGGCACAACCACCCCATTTGTTTTAGCAGAAAGCGATTAGAATGTAAATGGGTTACAAACAACCCCTAGAAATGCCGCGGCACTCTGTCCTTGAGAGGCAGAGGCTCTGCTCGCCCCCGGACCCCTCCGGCACCCGCCGTCAGCCCCCAGCTCCGCGGCAGGCTCGGCGCCCGCGGGGCGGGCACTGGTTTTCAACCGCCTGTGGAGTGCCGCCCTCGGATCTTCTCCACGATCATGGCATTTAATTATCAAGGTAGCTGGTTTGAAAAGAGCTAATTAGTTATCAAGGTAACTACTTTTAAATGAGCTAATGGAATTTCTACGTCTGGTATAATTACATCTGTCCTCTTTCAGTGATCAGACATGCTCATGGACATATTTCCTTTGGAAAGGAAAGAATTTGGCGTGTTGGTCGGGCAGCGCTCCCACAGAGCGGCGCAGGGAGGCTGAGCTAGGGGTGCTGGTTGGAGTAGGTCATGGAATCCCAGACTGGTTTGAGTGGGAAGGGAACTTAAAACCCACCCCGGCCCACCCCCTCAC